TTCTATTCAACTTTCCACTCGACAGGATTCAAGGAGGGCATGAGTCACTTGGCGAGAATCCACCCAATCCCAGTGGCTTATCGGAAGCCAAACTCCACACAGACACCCTCTTCTGAGGTTCCCTTGACCCAGGTAACTTGTCATTTATGGTCACTACGAAATGAAGGCCATCGGTCCTGCTCTCACTTCAGCTGCTACCTAAGATAGAAGCTTCCAGGTAGTGGCGCTTGTGTTCTCTAAACCTAAGCACTGAGTCCCCCACCTTGTGGGCTCCCCACTTGCCACCTCCCCAGCACCCTGGGGAAAGGGCCTGCCTGGGGATTGCTGCCTTCTCCAACACTCCCTCCTTCCCTCTTCCCTGGCAGACAAGCTTCTGCACGACTGGCCCACGTCAGAGCCGCCTGATACTGTCTACCCCGATGCGAGGTAACGCTGCATAAAGCAGGGAGCAAAGCTTTGTCCTCTTCTCTCTAGAACTTTCAGTAGCAGAGGCATCTCAGTGCTTCCACTAAAATGTGCAATATCCGTTTCCTTACAGAGCTCCAGATGTGTACATTTGAATGGAATGAGGACAAGAGCGACAGCTGCCCCTCCTCTGTGCCAAGCACCTGGCCTGTGTCATCCCACTGATTCCTGACTGACTCCTCGTAACACCCTTGGAACCAGATACCATTCCTACTTCAAGGGAGGACACTGAGGGACAGAAGTCAAATAATGCTCCAGGTTCTATCAAGCTAATAAATGGTCTGGCAGGAAACCACACAGAGGGCTGTCTGATTTCAAAAGCTTTACTGCCTAAGCAAACTGTTAGAAAAAAATTTTTTTAACATTTTTGTAGAGACAGTGTCTTGCTATGTTGCCAGGCTGGTCTCGAACTCCTGGCCTCAAGCAATCCTCCTGCCTCGGCCTCCCAAAGTGCTGGGATTATAGGTGTGAGCCACCATGCCTGGCCAGAAAAATTTTTTAAATAACATAAGACCCTATCTCAGTTATTACTGTGTTGTAATCATCTGGCTGAATTATTTGCTCGCTGTCTGTCTGAAATAACTACAAGGAACAGTTTCACAAAAGCTGCTACGGTCATTTCAAGCACAGACCTGAAAGAGAAGGATACCGGCCTACAGGCTGCATTCCGGGTCCTTCTTACTGTCTGTTTCCTCCGTCGGCAGTCAGGCCGCCAGAGATGCAGGTGCAGGAGGGTGCCTGAGATCACACTACTTTTATTTTCTTTCTACAAGAGATAAGTTTCTGCCTGCCAGCCTTAGCAAGGCCCTGTCCCTGTCAGAGCCACTCCCTGAACACATTGTCCACTGACTGAACAGTCAGAGAGACTCACAGAGGAAGGAAAAAGGGCTCACAAGTCTGAGGGGCTCACCCAGGCCGTGGGCCCCACCACACAGGTGCCGTGTCTCTAATAACAACATCACGCCAAACCGCCAAACTCTCGCCTCCTAAGGCTTCCCTACAGTGACCCTGGCTCACGAGGATTCTGCGTGGTTCTGATAACTGGGTCTGTTCAGAGCAACGGCAGTGGCCTCCCCTGTCCGGGAAGCGCTGGGCCTGGAGTCGGGCAGGCTGCACTCCTCTCCTCCGGAGCTCAGCGCACAGGGCCGCCCGCCATCAGGAAGGGAGCACTCAAGCACCAGCTCTGCCCACGGTGGTTCTTGCGGGAGCTGGCTCTGAGTCATTGCGTAAGCTCCTCTGGGATGATGAGGCCTTTCCTAATAAGGCACAGGGGGACACTGGGCACTGGGGACAAGGCTGTCCACAGAAACGCTGCTACATGGGCTCTAAAAGCCAGGAAAAATGAAGGCAGGGAGCGAGAAGCACACTGAGCAACAGGAGTCAGAGAGAAAGAGGCTTCCTTTGCATCTGCTTGGTTCTCTGGCTCTGCCCAGGGGAAGGTGCTGGCACACACACGGAAGCCCTGGCCTCCGCCGCTTACCTCTTTGGGTCTTGCTGATCCTGCTTGTTTGCCCATCCCGTTCCGTCCTTGGGTACTATAACGATGTTGGGGTCGTTTCCTTTGTTTTCAGACTTCAAGCTTGGCAGGTTTGCAGGCGGTGGCATACGCCGGGCTGTGGCAACTTTCCCAAGACTCTGTAAGCCATGTCTAGGAGTAACTGCAGGCAAGAGAGGGATGGGAACAGACACCACACAGAAAGTCACAGGAGGAAAGGGGCCCGATTCGTTCAGTTGTTCTGTCACATTCTAAGTGGTCTTCACAAAGCCAACCAAACAAAACACAAGAGGCAGACCAGCAGCGGGAACAAACAGAAGCATTTGGTCGTCCCTTTAGTCACTTCACAAGCTCTTCACTGAGGACTAGAGACAAAAGAGCTGCTGAAACCTGCACAGAGGCTTCCATTTTACAAGTTTATGACACGGGTGAGGATCCAGGCCCAGAAACCTCGATCCCACACAAGAACCACCTCTCTGCAAGTTGAGACGGCTCCGGCCTCATTACGGCGGGAACAAAGGGACAGCCTCTGCCTAGACCCAAACCTCCTGAGGTGTGGACAGAATCCACACGAACTTTTCCCACCAAGTTCCAGAATATCAGAACCATGGAAACTAAAACGGGTAACACTGATGCCAATTAAATTCCCTTCCACCCATCAGGACGAAAACGTCCATGGCTTCAACAAGGTAATGGATGGAGAAATCACTCCACTCTGGGTGAGTCGGGATATTCCAGGCTCTGAAACCAGACCTCGAATAAGAAGCAGAGGTGACTCTGCTTCCCCAGAACTGCCGGGTGACCTCTGTGTGCCCAGGAGACGGGTCTGTGTGGACCCCATCTTTGTGACTGGGTGAGGGGCTCTCTGGGTTTCCGGAGTTTCTCCCTAACGGAGGGCTTAAAGAGCTGGCCTCAGGCCGGGCCTTACCTGAGGGTCTAATTGCGTCTACTGATTTTCCTTTATACTTGTCAAACAGGCTGAGAGTCGAATACTTGCTTTTCCCATCCTTGCCCTTGGTTATTTGCCCCAAACGATCGGACATTGCGATGAAATGTCATCTAGTAAGGAAATTTTTCTCGGCACCGCTCCCGATCTGCCTTTGAAATAAAAAAAAAAAAGAGTGTCAATCCAAATCCACCAGAACCTCTGATCCAGTGGAGTGGACTCTTCAGGGATCGTGGATCTCCTGAAGAGCTGAAGAAAGCTTCAAACTCTGTCCC